GGCAGCATCGCTGATATCTGACTGCCTAGTGATTTGTTTGCCTCGTAAATGTCGGCACGGTCACTTGTGCATGCTCATGCGCACACAAAATGACACTCGCGTTCGTGCACAAGCACACAAATCTAGACAGGTGATCATACATAAAGAAGTCATGCATGTAAATGTGTGCTTCATAAAACAACGTGAAACATGCACGTGAGCCATGTCTGCTTGTCTGTGCGCCTGCATGTCTATATGTGTGTCTATAACTGTAGGTCGGTACGCCTGCATCTATCTATGTGCATACCAGCGCACCTGCAAACGTGTGTGTATGGCTGCTTGTGTTTGACTATATGTCCGTGCGTTTACATTGTCTGTATGCCTGTATGTCTGCATGTCTGTGTCTGTGTGTGTGTGTGTGTGTCTGTGAGTGTGTTTCTGCACGTGTATGCACTGTGCATGTGTGTGTGTGTACGCGTGCGTAGATACTTGTGTCTGTGCGCGCATGCTTGGGACTGCGCGCATATCTGTGAATGAAGTCATGCATCTATGCATGCATGCGCGCCTACCTACAGGCATATTCGCAGGTGTGCATGCGCATGCAACTGTGCGTATGCATGGGGCCACTTTCGTAATCCAGGGGTGAGGATCCTGCAGATTGCCTTTGAACAGCCCGGACTCATTGCCCAAAAACCGGGCGAACAGAAGGACCACAACCAGCGAGCCATCCAGCCGAGCGAAGCCGGCCGCGTCCGAACCCGTCGCACCCGTGGCTCGAGGCGCTTGGCACATGCCCGGCCCTTGTGGTTGAACTTCGGCGCGCGGAGGTGGACCTTCTCCACGTGGAAGAGCTTGCCCCCGGACAAGCGGACGCGCTCCTTGAGATGCGAAAAGCTAGGCACTGGGCATCAAGAGTGGTCAAACGGGGATGTTTCTTTTGGGATTGTACCCTTCTCAGGCTGGTTTAAGGGGAAACGAAAGTTGCCCTAGCTTGAGGCACGCCGAAATGGGAGCAAGAAAGGGAAGCAAGCCACTTGCAAGTCTCTTGTGACTAGTGGCTCTTTACAGAAACCTTGAGGTGGCGCAAGCTGGATAGAGCAAAGATAGCAAAGAACAACACCCACCGGTCCTTGAGCATGGCAGTGTTGCGGATGGGTTCCACCAAGGCGGGGGGCAACTTCGCCACACCTCGGCATCGCAGAGGCTCAAGGGACCTGGAGGGAGGATGACCCGAAGAAATGATCCGCGATATGCCCCGTGGCATCGGCATTTTATGTTTTTGATCCGCGGGCATGATCCTCCATGGAAACTGAAAAGAAACTGCTGGGGCACCACACATCTTATTCACTCTATGTTTGTTTTTGGGTGGGTGCCAAAGTGCATTCCACAGCTCTGTTGGCTGCTTCCGTTCTGACAAATGCTTTGGGGGATGGTGATTTCTCAACCTCCTCTTCGGAAACAGGTCTCAAAATTATGCCCCGTTGACACCATCCCACAAAGTGGCTGTTCAATTTTGGGAGGGTTCCCCATATTCCCAACTTACCGAAATATTATGATGTTGAAAGCGACCAGCAAAGACATACGGGTGTGTCCTTTTTGAGGGCCTTCCTTGGGGGTGCCTTAAACGGAAAAAATAAGGAAAGCGTTCAATTCGGGATTCATTCCCTCTGCAACTCCTGGGTCCACCAAAATGAGGCATCATCAAAGCTACCCTAGTTATGTTACACAAAAACCACCCTGAACTCACTTCAGACCCCCGCACCCCCCCCGCCCCGCGCTGCCAAGGGCGCGGGGGTCCTCCCGCGGCAGGCAGACGCGGGGCGGGCGGTAGCATGCCACCATCTTCGCCCCCCGGCGCTTCGCCCAGGAGCCGATGCTCTCCCCCGACCTGGGGAGGATGGAAGGGGCGGGATATTTGGGGCCATGGCTTGGTCAACTTTTGATCCACCAGTCTGATGAAGGGGAGGCAAAGACTAGACAATATCCTTGTGGGTTTGCATTAGTTGTTGTTTAAACGCATGGGCAGCCTTTTGCTTTGATGTGTTCAAACATGCAACTAAGCCACTCTGACGAAGGGGAGGCACGGACTATTTAAACTATTTTCTGTGGCTGTCCGTTAGTTGTTGTTAAAACACATTGCACCTTTTGCCCAACCCTGATAGGAACCAAAGTCCCACATTCCAAGGAAAGGTTTGGAAGGGACCTTCTTTACGTGCGGCATGGCCATGGTTCCAAGCATGTTGAACCTTGTGTTGTTTGCATACAACTACAAACAAGAGGTTGATGACCATCCCCGCAAGTACAGCAGCTTCAGCCGCGGCGTTCTAAAAAGGACCCTGGCCTGGACAGGCTGTGTGGGTGCTTTCCCTTTGCATTTAAAGTTCTCCCTTCAGAAAAAGAGAGAGAGAGAGAGAGAGAGAGAGCGAGAGAGAGACAGAGAGCGAGATGCGCACAGACCGCACAAACACTCGGACAAACACGCAAACACACAACAGAGAGAGAGAGAGAGACACGCGTGCTTGCAACACAAGCTCGAAGCGCAATGCGGCATTAATCATTAGCAATTGCTGCCAACGCCAACAATTGCCGAAGAGGTAACATGCCGGGACAGGCTCTCAGAGTTGACTGTTTCACACAAGGGCGAAAAAGCACACACACAAACAAAAAAAATGCAAGGAAATACTCTACAAGCACTAGTTGCACATCCCAAAAGGGCAGCACCTAAAATCCGAGCTTGACATGTCAATGTGGGTGCAGTCAATGTAGGAGTCTTGAGGAAACCCGGACATGCCACGGATTCAATCCTCCCACTCGGACATGGACCACATCTCTCGCCTGGGTCGCGCGCCTTCCTTCTGAAGCATCGCAAGCTGCTCCTGCGCTCTCATGGCACGGGAATGGCCTTCGCCCAAGTTCTGCCACGGCCCATTGCAGGAAAACAGCCTTACCCTCCCACCACTTAACATGGATTCTGGCGTTTTGGGGAGGGCTTTTGTGTTGGACCATTTTCCTTTAAACGGGGAAAAAAACAACCCCTTTTCCTTCTCAAAGGGACCATTCACTTCTTCCCCCCCCCCCCCTCGGTTTTGAGGTCCTTGCGCCCAAACCCCACGGATCTGAACCCAAACCCGGAACCTCGCCTCGGCCAGGTGGCCGTCGGAGGCCACCACTCGGTGCCAGCCGGCCTGGGTGCTGAACACGCGGGTGTTCCAAGGATATGTGGTTTTGGTTTACCCCCCCCCCCAAAAAAAAAAGGGGGGGGGGGGGGAGGGAGAGGAGGGTGGACATGTATATGTATACATATTTCTATATATATATATATATTGTATACATGGGTTCTGTGTGTGTGTTGTTTTTCTTTTGATAGCGGAAACCAAATAATATTTTGGGGGTCATCATTAATAACATCAACAATCAACTACCCATCCCTTTTTGGTTTTGCTTGACCATTTTGGCCATCCATTATCTTTTGCGGCTTGCCATTGAGAAAAAGATCTCTGCCCCATTCAGCGCCCCGCGGTTTTGGCGTTCACCAGCTCCATGAGCTCCGACCCCAAGGCCGTGCGCACGCCTGACGCCAAACCCCCCACCCCACCCACAGCACGGCGTCATACACTTGGAGCCTTGGTAGCAGCAATGGAAAAATGCCAAAGACATACATGTTTTGCAAAAAACACAAAGAAAATCGTAAAAAATAGACTCGCCCTAAGTATCCCCCACAAATGTGGTGTGTTACTGCCCACGTTTGACCGACTAGCTGCACTGCAGAGGATCGTCTGACACTGGGAGCCCCTTAAAATTTGGGGAGATATCAACCTTGACTTCATGAAGATTCCCCTTAGTCAGGCACTGGCAACCAGCCATCTGACAAAAAGATTGCACCCACCCGCCTGTGTCGATTCCCTCATCGCCACGCCCCAGTTTCTGTAGCACTTTCCGGAAGACCTGACCGGCATTCTTGACCCTCCAAGAACCAAGGGCCTCTGAGAGGGGCGGCCTGCAGCCTAATGACTAGGAAGTAGGCTAAATGCCTGCTCCTTGGACTTCATGAGATAGGACACCCTGGAAGATAAGACCAACTCAAACACCTACACCGAGTTGATGCCTTCTGGCCTCATGTTCGAGGCCCACCGGTGGAAACCCAGGTATGATGAGCATTGTGTGTTTTGGTGAATGGGTACGCCTCAAAGTTAGGGGCCTTCCACTTTGGATTCCTTTCAAACCATGAGAACAGGTACCCAGCCTCAGAAACAATACCCAAACCTTACTTCCGACCAATGGATTGATTGACCAAAAAGAAGCTCAAACTGCTTGCCACCCAAATTCGCCAAACCCAAACGGTGTCTCTCAAGTCAAAGAACTCGCGGAGTGAGAAACGCACTCGCCGCACAGCCTCCCCAGCTCCGACCCCCCACCCTCCACCCCACACCCCACCCCCGCAAGCCTCCATCTTGGACCGGGTCTGGCCCTTGGGAATCTCGCGCACCACGGCCGCCACCGCCGGGCCGCTCTGCCTAAGCGGATTGACATGGAACCATCGGGGAGTGAATGGAAAGGTGTCCGTAAATATAGATTGATGTGCATTTATTTATTTTATGTACTCATGTATTTCTTTATGAATTTATTTACATATTTATTTATCTATTCATTTCATATCTAGAGATCCTCCTATGGGGGGGGCAACCCTTTTTCCCCATGTTTGAGTTTTGCACGGGGGCCCCTGCAACATCGCACAGAGGCAGGAGCCTCAAAGCTTTTCAGCCCAACCCCCGCCTGAGTGATGTGGCTGATCGCTTCGGCATGGCTCTCAGGCGGCTTTCAGCCAAGGCTTCGGAACGTTCCGAGGTGGAAGCCAGGTTCGCAGCCCCCTTTGGAACCATCCAAGAAAGAGCCCCCCGGGCATCAGTCATTTGGAGGGTGTTCCATTCAGAGCCACCTGTGGAAACCTCTTGCTTGGCGGAACGCCCCACTAAAATTCGGAGCCACCTGCTGCTCTCTGAAGCTCGGCTGAGGCAGCCGGCCAAGGCTTTGAACTCAGCCCAGCACCTCGCTTCGCCGTTGCGCCGCTTTGGCACATCGATTCGTCCCGCCCGGGCCTACCTTGTCTTGTCGCTTGCTGCCAAGTTCCAGCACCTACCTGCTGAGTTGACGGCTGTCAAAAAGGCAAGTGAGAAGCTCAGAATCTGAATTATGCTAAGAGCAAGGAATTGGCTCCTGGGGCCTCAACCTGCACAATCCTGAAGCAGCCAAACTAGCCACGGACCCACGGAAATGTACACATAAACTTAGTACAAACAAATAGGCAAGCAAGCAAGCAAGCAAGCAAGCAAGCAAGCAAGCAAGCAAGCAAGCAAGCAAGCAGGCAGGCAGGCAGGCGAGCAGGCGAGCAGGCGAGCAAGCGAGCAAGCAGGCGAGCGCGCAAGCAAGCACGCAAACCCAGGTAGCCAGCCAGCCAGCTGGCAAGCAGCTCAAACCAAACCAGCCGAAACAAAACAACCCCCCCCTGGATTTTCTCCCGCGTGGCTCGCCCTGCCCGGCCTTACAGCTTCAGCTTCCCGCAGGTCGCGGCAGAGCAGCCGGTGAGCGCCGTAGGACAGCTCCTCTTCCTCACGTCACATGCCCTAAGCACGCCACCTCCCCAACCCGGCACCCAAGCACTCCCCCAAACACCCTTTGGAAAGCTGGAGGCGTGCTTTTTCTCTCTCTTTTTTGGGGTGGGGGAGGGCCACAAACAGTTCGACGCTCCAAGAACGCAGTCAAGGCAAGGTGCCAACTGACTGCCAAGTCTTTGCGCCCACTGGGAACAATCATCGTCAGGGGGTTGCTCTGAGGGCCACGCGCGGCAGCTCTCGCTGCAGAATAGAGCCTTGCAGCCTGTCGGAAGCTGTCTCGTTGCTTTGGCTGCTTTTTTGAACAAATTTGGGTTGGAGCATGAATGAGGCCGCATTGATGTTGCTGACAACTCGCACGTCGGAGAATGAACCCAGGATTGCCAAGCACCTGACTGATTTGTGGGGGTTGCTCAACTTGAGCAGGCATCCTTCACCTGGAAAAAAAACACCTCCATCTTGATCCCCAGGTTCATCGAGGGTCGACCTCTCACCACCAGCTCTGCTCAACCCGGCATGGCTCCTTCTGAGGGGCAGAGCACCGGCTCGATCCCGGCCAGCAAATGGTGGCCTGCATGCCGATTTGGCTCAACCACTTTTTGAAGGCAGCATGCCCCATGATTTTCTAATCATACCTTATGGCCTCATGGCAGCTTGCATTGCAACATCGCGAGCCATCGGCTCCTCCGGAGTTGGTTTGAAAGGAAAGCCAAAAAGGCAACCAAGAGAAACGAGAAACCAAATCAAACCAAAGGGAACCAAAAGGCAACCATCAGGATACCCAAGGGAAACCGAAAGGATATAAACACCTCAAATTCAAATCGCTTTGGGTCCAAGCCGAGCCACCGACCCATCAGCTCATGCGAAGCCACTGGAAACGACCTCGGGGCCGACTGCCATGGATGCACAAAACACATGCGTGTCCTCGTACAAGCCGGAACCCGTTTTTTAAGAAACCTCTTGGAGCTTTGACCTTCCCCTTGGACCTTGCTCCCGTGGCACAAGGGCTGAAACCTGCCAAGTACCAATGTGTGGAAGGGTGCAAAGTGCTGCACTTCTGCGGTCGCCGCTCCAAAGTCTGCCCCGAATTTCGCAGAATCCTCAGCACTGCCCGAGCATCGGAATTTGCAGCGTGATGCCTTGCCGGGCAATTTTTTGGGAAAGGACGTATTGACGCCGTTTTGCCAAGCATCCTCTGCAGGAGTAGGCTAAAACTGCCCACTGGCGTCATGCACCTTGGCAGCAGGATCGCCTTTTTACGCGACCGGGGGCTTTTCTCACAGAACAGGTAAGGATAAAACACCGCGTTACATCAGCAAAGCGCCGATTGCCTTGGGCCTTGCCCCCACACACTTACAGTCACTACAATTTGGAAGATCTGTTTGGTGCTGGCTGATCCAAATGTTCATCATCCACTGTCAGTTTGTGCCAACATCAGGTTTCAACCTGGCGTTGCGCACCGCCAGACATCTGCACTGAGTGTGAAGATCCACTGATCGTGGGCAGGGACAGGGTCCAACTCCTTATCGAACCATCTTTCACACTGCTGACCGGAACCAAGCGGAAGGAGCACAACCAAGAGCAACAAGCTGCTGCGTCCGATGGGTATTGGAAAGAGTCGGCTAGCAGAAATACAAGCCCCCTCCCCATGTTTCCCCTTTTCAGCATCTCTCAAGGCTAAGCATCCCTTAAAAAGCTGATACTCCTAACCGACAAAAAGGAAGTAGGGAGAGCGCATTGTCACTGGAGCCGTTGGGTTCCAGCCATGGCAGGCGTACCCCTTAAACCAAAGCCTGCAGCAAAGCCCGGCTAAGAGCCCGGCGCTGCGCAGCATGGAGTCAAGCGCTGAGAGAAGAGGTGTTGCAAGGCCACCTCCACGGATCACTCTCACACCGTGTATTTTGGTGGTCGGGCGGTTTGGCGGACATCATTTGCATGTGCTTCTTGGTGTCTGCCAACCATCTTTGAGTAGTCCCTGCCAAGAACCATATCGAACAAAGCATACTCTTATGCCAGGTTGGTTTTGGTGTGTCTCTCAAAGGGGCTACTTCCCAGAATGCAAGCCCCAAGGCGCACCAGCGGAGTATCCTGAAAGACCTCCTGGCCAGCAGCCTCATGCGATGCGCAGAACAAGTCACGCTGGGAAGCGGGTGTTTTCAGTGTCTAACACTCGGGCGCGAGTACCCTCAAAAGAAAACACACGCACCTCTGTCTGGGCAAATTACTATCAATCCCAAACCCGAAAAGATGAAGTATCTGAAAACTGTTCTTTCCTACAGGTACATGTTGCTTTCCCTCGGGCACAGGACTGCGGTAGGCGCCTGCTGCAATTCAAATTGGAACTGGATTCACAAACCGCAGGTTGATCAGTGTGTCCAGATTGAGAGGGATTCCTTCCATTGTGCTTCCGTTTTGTTGGTTGAAAGGGAAATAGGAAACAAAAGCGGCAAACCCGGCCATGTCACGAGAAACGCTGCCAGGCCGCCAAGTCCTGTTGGGCGACCAGCCCGCGGCCGCGCCGCTTGAAGTGCCGAAGCTGGCGGTGAGGGCGGGGGCCACGGGGTGATGCCGCGGTACGAATTGCTGGCGACCCCGGAGGTAAGTGGAACCTGTGTGTGTGTGTGTGTTATTGGGGGATGTCCCGTTTTTGAATGGGACTGCCCCCAGGAATCAACCCATAGGGTTGTTCATCCTGGATTCCCAGCAAATGTCACCAACCACGAGCAAGGGACATTGACCATGGGTGAGCACCCACTATAATTTGTGCAAATCAAGAACCAAGCGAAGCATTCGACGAGGTGCCAGCTATCTGGCTATTGCAAAGGAAGCGTTCTGGGTCGGTTCTAACAGACGGCACTGCTAGCCTGGTACAAGTCATTTGCACATTTATGGGCCCTCAAGTTTGTTTCAAGCCTGAGTTCAGGCAATGAGACCACAGCAAGCAGCTTTCTTCTACAGATCACCACAGATTTCGGGGTGGCACTCAGGCCTGAGCCGCGCACTCTCGCCACAAAGTCCTGAAGCTGCGGAAACCCAAGCGCCCAAAGGGCGGCCCAGGACTCCGGGGGACACCCAACAGGCACCAGCAGCCGAAACCGAAGCTGATCCCTGAGGCGCTTGCACGTCTTCAGCATCGCACAGGGGGCGTGTCTCCATGTGACGCGCGGCCACCCAAAGGGCACTTCATTGCAGCTTTCGCAGCATCTTGCTCCAGTTTAGGGTCTACGGGTTGGTTTGGAGTTTAGCGTTGAACATTGGCTTCATGTCCACTGTGGCTTTTGCTGATTGAGGCTTTTGTGTTGACGCTTGCCTTTGGCTTACATTTCGGGCTGCTGCAAACAAGGAAAGGGATGGCTAACCCCAAGTCCATCTACTCCGCCCAGCTGAAGGTTTAGCTTTCCTCTCCACCCCCAAAGAGCCGCGCACGGTGGGGCTCGATGGCGGGACGTTGTTGTTCTTGTTGTTGTTGGTGTTTCTTTCTGACGTCCGGAGCGCTCAAATAAAAAATGGTGCCCTCAAAACAAAAACAAAACTACTCCCACAGAAGCGGTCCCCATGCCTGTGCATGCGCCCCATTCGACGGCTTGGGCTGAGAAGCTGAGATAGCGAACAAAGCCAGAGACGCACTGCCCCCCCGCAAGTTATCTAACATGAAACACAAACGGGCGTCCCCCAAGAGGAATCTACAAACATGTGACTTCTTCTGTTTTTTTTTTTTAACGGGGGGCCATGGCTTTGGAAGCCCTGGCGATGGTGGCTCGAAGGATTTTTTGCCGCGAGCTTCACATTGAAGTGGGGTCATGCTTGAATTGCCAGCCGAGTCTGGCTGCGCTATTGCCCTACCATTTACCCTGAGCCAAAGAAAGGGACTGAACCTGCAAGTTCAGGCAGAAAGGGGCGAGCCAACTCCTTCCCTGTCCCAATTTGACATGGGCTGGTCACTGAATTAATGGGAACCCAGGATTAGTTGAACCCTGCTTGATTAGTAGTGGGGCGTACCTTTTTAGAAACAATCACACCCTGTTAATCCACCTAGGCTCTTCAATCCGGGGTCGACAATATAAGGGCGAAGCCCAAGGCAAGCCAAAACAGACATTGCTTGCCCGTGGAGGCTTCATGAGCTTCGGAACGGGGCGCACTTGGCGTCTTCAAATTGGCCGTTGGCGAAATCGGATGCCTGGCCCTTGCGTGGGTCCGAATGTCGGCACCCAGCAAGTTGCAGTAAGACATGTGCATGAATCGTCCCCCTTGAGTGGACATGTGGGGGTTATACATAGCCGCGTGAGCCCCCTCAGGCAGCTCAGACACGCACCGAAATGCCAAGCTGCCATGCTAAAGCATCTTGATGCCATCCAGGCCAGGGTCGGGCCCACCCCAACCCCTTGATCAAACACATGCATTGTTTACCTTCAGATCGCTGTAAACAAGTTTTGCCCAACCCTGCCGCCAGCCCCTCAATCCACCACATGCCACGCAAACCCTTCCTCCAGGTCCAGGTGCTCCACGAAATCCGGCCATTTGCCCCGCAAGAAGCCGAGCGCGTGGTGCGCCCTGGGGCCAAAGTTGATTTCTCGGTTTCCGGTTGAAGGCAAACGGGGGTCTGGTTGTAAGCTTTGCCCAACCGGGGGGAAAAACGACGACCTTTGTTTGTTTCCTTTTCGGGGGTTGTACTAAGTGTTGCCCAGCCCTGCCTGGACCCACTGAGGTGCCGCAGCTCCCGGAAAATCTGCTGCGGGCACCCCGCGAGCCACACGGCCTCCAGCAGCTCCTCTGACATGGGAAGGCTCAGTACCTGAAGGGCTGAACTGCGCAGTGGGCCGCGGCTACGGGAAGCGTGTGGTAAATGCTCCTGTTGAAATACGGACCCTTGTTGACAATCAAGGCGGGCTCCGACTTAGCGCCTTGGAAGAAAGGCACCCCCACGAAAGAGAGACGCCCTGATGAATAGCTGGGAGCTGTACCAACCAGGGGTCGGCATGAAGGGAAAAAACGGCACCGCCCACGCTGCGCCGAGCAAAAAAAACGTCAAAGCAAAGCGCCTTCTCCAGGCCCAAGAACTGGTAGGCCTCCCAAAGGGCGCCGCAGGCGGCGCATTTCACCTCCGCGTCCCGGTCCGCGGCCAGCTGGCTGAGGCTCCTCAGCGGCGCCCCCAGCGGCAGCGCGGGCTCCGCCTCCGCGGTCGCCAGGCGGAGGAGGGCGGACAACTCACGCACGGCCACCTGTGACTATCCCTCCACTTCGTCTTGAAAAGAATGTGTCGATCCAGACATTTACTGACTATATGTTATGTGATGCTCTCTCTTGTTTGTTTGTCCAGAAACCAAAAATAATAACACTAACGGTATCCCTGAAGAAAAAAAACTCGACTACCCAAAATATAGTGACTAGTGTCCCTCAAAATCTGCGGGCTGGGCCGAATTTTGAGAAGGGCACCAGGCGCACCGCCGGCTCAAAGCTCTCAAATCCGAAGGCGGCCGGGATGTCCGGACCCTCCGGCTGGTGGGCGCGAAACCTGGGCCAGACTTTGACCCCGAAACTTGGGCTTCTGGCTTTGGATGTCCCTTGAAAACCTCCCAAAAAAAAACAAACTGGTCAGAAGGGAGAGTGGAGGAAACCCAAAAGAGCAAAAGGGAAAACCAGGGGGAAGAATTTGGTAAACTAAGAAAATGGAAAACGATGTGAAGTCTGGCAATGAAACCACTGGCACGCCGACTCTGGCAGCTGCTCGCCGAGCTCCAGCAAACGCAGGGCGATCAAGACCCGGGCCTGGCTCACACGGCCCCTCCCTCCGACCGGCGCCGCCTCCGCCTCCGCCTCCGCGCCTCGAAGCCAGGGTTCCAAGCCAAGGCCGCCAGGGCCTCCTCCAGAAGCTCCCCGGACTCCAGCGCCAGGCCCTGAGGTGGGCCATGGTTTTGGCTCGTTTGATGGGAGTCCTCAGATTGGTTGGCGAAATTCTGAGGGAGGTCCAAAGGGAGTTTTGGCCACAACGCGCACGGGCGCGCGAGTGGTCGTGAATATGCGTCATGCTCTATGCTCTGCCTGGCCTGGAATGGCTGGAGCGAGGGCACCAGCACCAGCCACTGGCCCGGCCACTCCTCGAAGCGCCAGAGGAAGCGGCCTGGGGAAGCCCTGCACCCACCACACAAAGAGAAACAGGGACAAACGGTGCTAGCGAACAACTCAGTCTAGGTCCAGGTTATGGTTTCTTGGGTGGTCTGGGGAGCTGGCCCACCTGGGTCTCCAAACAGAAGCTTTGAGCCGCGAGCTTGTGATGATTCGATGGAACAGAGGGTCGAATAGAAGTACGACAACCCGGCAAAGACGAGTGAAGAAGTGCAAGTGAGTTTGCCCGGCTGCTAAGACTGAAAAGAAAGGGTCCCTGGGCTCGCCCCGAAATCGCCCCGGGCCCAAGCTAGCCCAAATCACCCAGTGTCGCCTGACGCGCGCATGCTGTTGAAACGAGCGGTGAACAATTCGCCCTGTCGCAGCAAGAATGCCTTTGCAGGGGCCAGTTCTGGACGAGTGTTGGGGGAAGACTGCGCATGAGCCCATATGAGCCCCGCCTAGCAGTGGTGCCAGCAAGCGCCACGGCTCCAAATCAACATCGCTTCCTCCTGAGGAGAACGGGGGCTGACTGCGCTCTCAAAGTCTGATTGTATAGGTCCACGTGTGAACCCGTTACCCCTTCAGACCTGGCCGTAATTCACAGCTTATTTAGCAGTGAACAATAGACGGATATTTGGCCAACTTCCTGTGGAACGTCCTTTGACATGCACTCGTGGGCAAATTAGATCTTTCTAATTACCTCAGCCGGGGGGCTTTGGCACCTCACCATGATGAGGGAGCCATGTCTCTGTCCGAATCTGTGAAGGAGCATGCTTCACCCAAAAACATATTGGCTTGCGAGGTGGGACTTGGTCAGCTTACACATGTATAAGGCTGAGATCTAAGATGTACAAGCCTGATGACAGGGCCCCACACTGTTTCCGTCAAACCAAAATGGGGGGGATTGTGCCATCTATTTTCGCCCAACTGTAGATGTTGCCCAGCAAGATCTCCTGCATCCTGGCCACGCTCCATGTAGGTGGCTGTGGCTTGACAGAGGGCATCCAGCAGCTTGCCAAGGTCCTCCGTCCCCAAAGCGGAAACTGGGACCATCACCTTCCATGGTGATGTTTAAAAGGAGCCCTAATGATTGGTGGCTTCGGGATTTGAACCCCCTGGCGTTTGTCTTTAGAATGGGTGGGCATGGGTCAAAATTACACCACCTGAAAATCGCAGGTCCGTACACTTTACCAGGGTTCCATTTTGGGCACCGACTTTTGACCCACCGCCAAATGATAAGGTACCTCCAACTCACCGAATCGGTAAGGTGATATTCGAGCTTGCGCTTCAGGCCTGTCACCTTGCTTCCTGGTATATTCACGTTCCTAGCAGAACGCCACATCCCTTTTAATACTGTGGCGAAACCATGGTTGAAACCATTACTTGTTGGAATTTGCAAAGGAATCATCATTCCAGGGTTTCTTATTCTTGCAGCTCACTACGCTGAAGATGACGTCGCTCACTTACACGGTCCTACCTATCGTGAGAAAACGGCCTATTGCATCCTTTTGTGTAAGACACTCTGGACGCAAAAGCAGAGAGAGCAAGAGAGGAAGCAGAATTCACAAACAAACATTGTTTCATCAATGTAGTGGATGCTGTCTCACTATCTGGGGGGGGGGGGAGGGACTGAGAGTAAGGGACTCTAAAAATCAAAAGTTGGACCACAAATAAACAGCCAGTAAAGCAAGACAAGATCATGGTCCATGTTTGTGGCTCACTCCTGGGAAACTGAAGACAATTGTTAAACTAGCAGGGCCATGCCTTCTGTGGTTGTGGTTCGTTCGCACACCTAAGAACTCTCCACGAAAGGTGCCCCCCTCCCCCTCCAACAGGCCTGAATTTTACATCAAAACGTGTGTAACCCAAAGCCAGGCACTGGAACCGCCTGAAACGGCGGATGAGCCGCGCCTCATCAGCGGTGCCATCCATGAGCGCCTGCCGGAGCTCTGCGCAGCCCGCGTGCCTCGTGCACAACTCGCTCGCTTTTTTCTGCGCGGCTCAAATCGGGGACTCCTTGTTGGATGGGTTTTAAAGGGAAACAAAAGGAAACCACCCATTTTGGAGGGGTCCCAAGTTGAGAAAGACCCATATGCGTATGAATCAATCTCAATTGAATGTTCTTGCCCCTCAAACATGCACCCACTTAAAGGAATCAAATGGACCCCAAAGGAGACATGCAAAAGCCGTTGCCTGGGACCTGTTCGAAATACAGATTCCGCCTGAGATTTTGCCCCCCAAAAATGGAAAAAGGTGAACATGTTCGGACCCGGACTGAAAATGGACAAGAAAGGCAAACCAAAGTGAAAGGTTGGCTGTGACCAACTAAGTCTTTCAACATGCATACAACTTTTTGTTAGTCCTGACTGTGGGGGGGGTGTCTGGCTTGGACAATTTCCTCTACAACGGACCCTCTTTCGGGTTGAAGGGAGCACTGGAACCTTCATCAAACTAAGCACCCCTGCGTCTACATGGCCAGGTGGCTCACAATAGGCGAGTGACTCCGCACCAGTCGCACCGAAGCAAAGAGGGCATCGTCCAACTTCCCCGACATGGAACTCTGCGGACGGAAATTCTGTGTCCAACTCTTTTAAATCAATGCATCTGAGCCCGTGAGTGTGCATAGAAATTCTGCACTGCGCTGCAATCATTACAATGTCATTACCCTGTTCTGCACCCCTGGCGTTCCCTGGCATGAGACAAGCCCAGTCGACCGGCCGCGGCACAAATCAGCTCTGGCAGGCTCAGGCTTGCTACCCGACCGCTTTGCCCGGGCCTGGCAAAGGCAAATGTGCCATTGCCGCCAAAAGCAAAGGTCAGGCTCTTCTAACCCAAAAAGGCGGTTGCCTCAACGGATTAAAGGCACCGCCAAGCCCTTTTTCCAGGCCGATTTGACTTGATTGATCCTTTCTAGGGGAATCGAAAAACTGCCTAACGGGAAAAAGTCTCCGCAGCTTGGCCTACTCCTTTGCACATTTGCGTAAAGAGACCCTGCAAAAGGGCGTCAAGGTGGGGGAGGAAGGGAGGCTGCGCCCACTGACCCCCGCGCTCCTCTGCCAAGGCTTTGATCGCCAGCAGCGCGGCCCCTGCACCCGCCGCCAGGCTGGCGCAGTAGGGGTTCCTCCGGGGGTGCTGCAAAAATGTGCTTCAGCATACCGGGATGGGTCCAAGCAGGGGGACCAAACAGAATGACGTTTTCCTGGTGGTTTCTCCTTTAAAGCAAGGTGTAAAGGGAAGTGTCGGAATAGAAGTTGAAGGTCATTCAACTGTCCAAAGGCAAACACCCGCTTCCGAAAACATGGGTTTCAACAAGGTTGCCTAACCCCCGCCTCCGGGCGAAGTCCAGCATGAAGCCCACGTCCTGCGCTGAGAGGCAAGTTGGTCTTTCCGAAAACGGAATCCCCCCCAAAACAAACAAAGGTCTCCTCTCAGTTGCACCGTGCCACTTCCCAAAACGGTTCCCCAACGTTCTCCGCTTGTTTTGTGAACCGGCGTCTCGCAAGTCTTGTTCCAGCACCAAGTCCTGAAGCAAGCCTACGTCGATGCTGACGCCGCCTGCAAGGGTCGCTTCGTAGATTTCGAGGTCCTCTGGCAGAAGGAAAGCTGAGGGCACGTATTGTGAGGGGGCAACAATGCAGAGGGGGCCAACACAAGTCGAACGTTGCATCTGCAATCAAGTCGCATGAGGGCAAAGAGCCTGGCGCCAAGACTTCTTGCGCTCGTCATCGCCCTTACTGCGGAGCATAGTGAAGAGTGCCAGCCAGTGCTTCAGGCTTGAGATGGGCCCAAGATCCACCTGCGACTCCTCATGGACCGAATCAATTCGGCCCCCTCCCTGTGAACGGAACCAAAAGGATGTTGCTTGAACAATAGGGGTCTTCTCAAATTAGGGACCTCTTTTAGTATGGTTGTGGGACCAATCCAGCGTATTCATGTTTTGCCTCACCAAATAAGCAAAAACTATTTGAGAAACAAACATATCGGTGTTCCGACGTGTTCAAACAGGTGGCCGGCCCAACCCTGTTCCTCGCATACATGGGCGTAGACTCCGCCGGTCAGTCGTCCCTGCGGCACCCTCAGCAGCACCGCCAGCGCTTGGTGGAGGAGGTCGGCGTCGGTTTGGACCGCTTTCTCCTTGGGGTTCTTCAACATGTTGGGTTCCACCCTTAATGGGTTTGTCTTCAAATAAGACCCCCCAAAATGGCTGTGGCTCAAAAGGCCGGTACCAAAATGGAATCCTGGTAAGTGGAAACATGGACCAAGACCTGCGTAACCCTTGCTGTTTAAAATCGAGCCACACCTAAATGGCGGCTTCCCCTCGTGACGTCCCTGCCCAACAAGGATTCACCACCTTGGCGCAAGCTGTAAGCTGCAACCTGTTTATTCGAACCACTTTCCCACAATCCATGCTCTAGCGCAAAATCAACTTCGCCCCAGTTGGTAGCCGCCAAATGTATTCACAGGGTCTCGTGTTTATCCCAACTGCAAAGTAGATTTTTTTCCACCCACGCAGGCGCCAGGGAGCGAATTACCCGGCATTCTCTGAATTTTCTCTCCAGGCTTCCCGCCAGGGCGTGCGCGGCACCGGATCGAACTTGTTCACCACCCGGGCGCTGCGCTTCACGCTGCTGCGGTAGAGGGCACCAAAGGCCTCCATCCAACCCGTCCAGGTTTCACGCCCGCCGAGTTTGTGGTTTCTACCTTGGGTGCTGTAGATCCCCCTGCAGCAAGTTCAACTTGTCGCAGGTGCGTGTGGAAATATGAGGGGCTTCGAAAAAGTGAAAGCCTCACTTTTTCAAACCCAATAGCATTCGAGTAACGACCTCCTAGCTTTCCTTTAAAGGAGGCCATCCGGACGTGACAACTTGCGCCCGGCCTCGTCCCCCACCCTGGGGGAGCCGAAGGTGACGCACTCCACTTGCCGGGCGCGGGCAAAGTCGGCCGCGCAGAGGGTGGCCAAGGCACCTCCGAGGCTGTGCCCTGCAGGGTCCGAAGCGAAGGGGACACGTCCAATTCCCATTCCTTCCAGGGATCCGACTCTTTCCAGAAAACCATCGGTACACCAGGGGAAACAGCTAAGCTTTGAAAAGAACGATGGTTGAAAAGAATGGGGAATCAACCCCTAGAAATGTGGATGAAATCTGAACCTGGCCATCCAAGGAGGAAAAAACAAAGGAAACACCTGGGCACGGTTCAAACTGGACAACAAGGAAAAACTGTACACCACACTCATGTCAAGGCCTGTGATCAACAAGTCCGCACCAGGATGCTGCTGTAGAAAGTCCAGAATCTGAGGATGAAGGGACATGTAGGCATCCAGAAATCCTGCCACTGGTTTGGCAAAAAACGGTTGGAAAGGCCAAAGGCAATGCCAAACACCAACGCATATTCTGCCAGACCCCAAACAATGACAAAAGAAACACTGCGGCGCCACAAATGCCATACAGCCAGCCACAATTGTGGTCACCAAAGCTTGTGAAAAGCAAGAAAACGCAGCGACAACTGAAGCCCTCTGGCGGCAAAGCCACGCACCTTGATGCACGTGCCCTGTGCCAGCCAAGTACGGCACCAGACGAACCGTGAGGTCCGTGATGACGTTCCTTGGCCACGCTGAGAGTGCTGGAATAAGACAGCTACAGTGGCCTCCAAAGCGCCCTCAATTCGCTTGGGCGCGTGGCACAATAGGGCGAGAGCCATAGCTTCGCGCAAGACCTTCTGAAACTAGACGCGCAACTGACAACGTCACAAGCTAGCAGTTCCAGGTCATAACCCCAGTGGTTTGGCTAAAAGGGAACATCCCACTTTCCAGACACAGTAAAAACATGACTTGGTCTAATGACCCCTTTTCACTGCGAGCGCTGATCGCTACATCTGCATGAACAATTGATGTAAGCTCTGGGGGATCCTGAAATTGCTCCTGACTGGCATTTGTTTGACTTTTGATACCTCGAGGATGACAAGGTTTGCTTCGAGGCCAAAGACAGCCAGACCAAGGGTAGAGGTTTGATCATCTTAAGAGCCTCGAAGCAACTCTGCAGGGAGACCCTGTAAACCCACGTCTGGCCCAATACTTTCTGGCTTTTGCCAGTCTCTAAATCAATCGGCCCATCTCTACGCGTCAACTAGCTTGGCGCCAAGATCACAGATATGGCTGTGGCTCAAAAGACCGGTACCAAAATGGAATCCTGGTAAGTGGAAACATGGACTAAAACCTGCGTAACGACTCCTGTTTAATTTTGAGCCACACCTTTTGGCAAGGGCCCTGAATGTTGTTGCAAGGCCACAGGCTCATCAGGTTGCTCGTCCCGCGGAACGCAATCTCAATGGTGTCGTTCTTTTTACGGAGGAGGACCCGACACTCGCTGGCAGCGACCGCATGCCACCCCAGCGCATCTTGGCTGTAAGCCGCTTTGGCCTCGCACCGAGCAAAGGGCTGCCATGTACGAGGTTGATGGGCACCATAAGGTCTATAGTGCCTTTTTTCGGCTGCCCTATCTGGGCTTGTTAGCCCGCAGAACCAAAGGAAAGCGCCCTTTTGGGAGGAGGGGCAAAAATCGGCGCCGGTGGACCGGCTGGAAGCGCCAAGCCGAACAAGCCGAGCGGCGTACTGAAGGCACTGCAGCGTCTTCTCACGCCCAGCATCTTTCCTCCAGCCACTTTTCGGCTTCCCGTTGGTTTCCTATATCAGCTTCCCTCTATTTGGTGGTTTGGATTGGTGGTTTGGTTCAGGAGGGGGTTCCCATTTACCCCCTGCAAGAACCAGCAACCAAGGGGATCAACTCCCCAAACCAATCCAAACCGCCAAGTAATTACTTGACTACAATCCAACCTGAAAAGGGCTCTCTCAGAAAAACGCAAAAACATGAGTCACCCATGTGTTGTGTGTGTGTGTGCCCTATAGATTGCCCAAACCGAATGGAACCCACCCGATTGAGTTGCCATGTTGAGGCACCCCCATGCCCACCACCAAAGCGCTCCAGGGTCGTTACACCCGGCAGGGGATCCCTGATCATGTCTTTCACTGACCCCGGTATGCAGCCTCAACACCACAGCCGACTGCGGCAATGAGAGCAACAAGGGCCAATGATGGCTGCAGCGACTTCCAGATCAAGAATGCAAACTAGAGCAGAGGGAGGAAGAGGAGGAAGGCGAAGAGCAGCAGCAGCAGCAGCAGCAGCAGCAGCAGCAGCAGCAGCAGCAGCAGCAGCAGCAGCAACGGCGGCTACACATTGACGACGGACAACCACAACACTAAGTAGATAGCAACGAACAAATGCAGCTGATTGAGCCTTGCTCCGAACCGCACACGTAATGCACACGCCGCACACATCGCCAAGCGGCCTTGCAAAAACCATGCCCGATGAGCCCACTCCTGCACTGCAAGCGTAGCACTGCTGGAAGCAACTTACAAACAAAACCCAGTGTGGACGCGCTATGTGGGGCAGCTAGCGTTGGAGTGGTTCGGTATCAATTCGCAGTCCTCGTTCCGGTGTTCAGTGTGTGGTGGCGCGGACTTTGAGCCCGCGCTGCTGGGAAGCCAAGGGTCCGAAGATGTGAAGCGCCCATGCCCACCACCCCAAGCGAAGGTTGGGGGAACTAATGCTTGATAATTATTGGTACTCGCTAGTCTCTCTGAAACAGGGGACCCATTTGAAATGCCGTCCAACATGAAATGAGAGAGCCTCGACCTTAAGTGATGCCTTCGAGCGTTTCTGACTCAGGCAAACGAACATTAGTGGAGCCGTTGGAAACCATCCGCGTGGTTCGTCTCATATTCCTCTTGTAACATCTGTCCCTTGTAACGCAGCCGAGGCTCCGCGAGCGGCCGCAAGCTTTCAAAGCGAGCAGGGCTCGATCGCCTAAATTGCAGCTCACCTGGGCCCTGAAGGCGCGCAGGTGCCGCAGGCCGGCTGCAACCCAGAACAGCGAATCTGACTCGAGACAACCTGCCGACCAATCTCCGGGTTGCCCTGCAAGCACATGGCATCCATGGTTCCATGGAAGCCGTCTACTTGATACGATCCCAAGGCTTTACCTTTGGCATCGCTCAGTGACTCGCGTGGCTATGCTGCTGAGTTCACGCCGCAGCATCCCTCTTGGCAGGTCAGCTGAGAAAAAATATGAGACTTTAAAAAGATCAGTCAAGTAGCATCATTCTGAACATCCTGGCGAAAACCTCTTGCGGGACAGTGCTTAGACTCAGGTGGTCTACTTGGTCTACTTGGCTGGGCAAATCGTGGGCCACAGCTCAGGGTCATGCCTGCCGCTACAGCCAACCCGTAGAAAAGGAAAGATACCATATAGCATGATTAATTGCAAACAACCAAACATTCATGCATGGCTGGCATGGTGTTGGCACATCAAGGAGACAAGCATATGGTCAAGAAGGAACATGAAATGCAGCACGTATTTAACAAGAATACATCAAACCAGTAGAGGCACTGCTACCTAACAAAGTTCCGTGCTAACCCGCGCAAAAGTCATTGTGCCGACTTGAACAGGACACCCCCAAAAAAATAATCAACTAGGGGTTATTGTTAGTCATGGGTTCCTCTTGATTGGTTTCAGAGAAATAGGGGTCCCGTTAAACGGTCGGTGTCCTTTTGGCGCCCCTTTGAATACAAAAAAAAGGTCCATTCTTGAGACATCTCCCTTCAAAAGGGAAACCAAATTGCTATGCTAAAAAACGGGGCTTTAACAAGGGGAAGCCAAGAGGAAACCGAGGGGACTACTGGGAATCCACAAAGGGCCTGAGCCTCCCGGCCTCACCGCCCATCTCTTCATGGGCAGCCTGCACCGAGAAATGGAAAGCTGGCGCGCGTCTTCAGGGCGCCACCGTTGACGGATGGGTAGAATGAGACGAACCGACGACGTTGGCGGCTTCCTCCCCCATGTTCAAACAAAGCGGCCATTTGGGGGACCAAGCACCCTCAGGCCCCCCAAAGCAGCCCCAGAGGCTCGGACGAAATTGCCAAGGCTTTCTCCAAAATCCCATGTTGCCGCAAGTTTGGACTCCCTTCCAGTCCTCCCCGAACCAACGGTGGGCCATCAATAATGCTCGGACCGTGAAACTACCCTCTAACTGGGTGGCTTAAAATGAAACAACCCAAAAATCCATTGTGAGAACCCCTCAAAATGCAACCACTTCAATGGACCCAGTCGCCGCGCTTGGGAAAATGAAACAGGAGTGTTATTCGGCAAATGGTACTACAATTCCAAAACCTGAACTAAGGGATCCCTAAGTAAAGGCTCTTTACCATGGTGAGCTTGTTTTACTCCCGAGGTGAGCTCCCAACATGCCGATTCTCAGGCAGCGGCTTCTCAATGGGCGCCCGCTGCTTGTAGGCCTGCCGCGATGTGGCCTCGCAGCTCGTGAGCTTGTCTAGCAAGTTGTGAACCGCCCTCCACTTCAGCAGATTGCGGCCCTTTTGGTTGGACTCTTTCAGCCCTTTTCTAACGAGGCCTGCTAAGTTCGGCATCATCACTGAAGCGCGGCATGGTGGCATGACCAACCCTGACTAGAACAAAAACTGGTTCCAAAACGAGTTCATCCCTAAGCAATTTTAGACAAATAAATGAGATTGGACCAGGCTGCCATTTCCAAACAGCACAACCCCAGCCATTCTATTGCCTAAAAAAAAAGGATCATTCAGTTGTCGCTCAGGGCAAGGAAAGGATTGGTCGGGCGTTGCAATGACCTCGTCACACCGTTGAGCCTCAGGCTAAATACAAGCGCGGCGTGCTCACCGGCAGGTCATGGGGGTTGTCCTGGCAATCGAAGGGGCAAACAAATTGGCGCCCTTGAGATTTCTCAATCTGTCTTGCTTAGGCATGCGCCCAAAAGCGGACCCCCACCACCTCTTTGGTAGCAACCAACCACAAGAAACGGCCTTGACCGCACATATGCCCCCTGCCCTTTCCGACACAGGTCCACCTTGCCAGCGGTAAACTCCGCTGCCATGGAGCTGCCCTTCCTGAGCGAATGGATACCCAGTGGCTCCCAACCGAGCGAGCGAGCCCCCGGCTCATCTTGGTGCAGCTGAGGAAGCCCGGCCTCACGGAGATGATTTGATCTCACCCCGTCTCGAAAGCCCAGCCCTCCCATTCTTCATTTCGGGAAAACCCAAAAACCCAATAGCCTTCCTGCAGTTCGACCGGGCACCGCAAAGAGTCGTGTTTCTGGCTTGGTGTTTCGCACATCGGCGCGCAGCGCCTGTAAGGGTCGTATTTATGCACTGCCGCAGCAGGAACAAGCTGTCCGCGACTCAGCAACTGGGCAATCCTTCTTCAGCGATCTGTGTGCGCAATCTCTCTGTGCAATCTCGTGGGCAACCTCTTGAATTTGTCAGGCGGTCTTCCTTGGCATGCCTCCACGACTTACGCGGTTTTGCCGGCAGAACCCTTCGCCGGGTTGTCGGAAAAGGCTGGAGCCAACCTTGCCTTACAGGGCTCTAGACAGCGGAGCCGCCGCTGCAAAAGGCGCCATGTAGCCAAGGGGCAGGCCGCCCTTTCACCTGCAAGGCCACAAAGCAGGAGCTTGAAATTTGAACCAAAGCATCTTTGCCCTTTACCAAACATTGAATATGTCGCACCATCAGGGACAACGACGTATTTGGACCCGTCTTTTTTGGGGGGGTACCCCTTTTGGTTGGCCTTTGGGCGCTAAACATTTTCAGACATACCCGTTTTCAAGGGCCTGGCACCAAGGCATGGGGGGTCTCTTGCACAGCGCCTTGCGCTTCTCATCCTCCGTCGACTTCAAGAAGCCCCAGCTGTCCTGCGAAGTCGCCGGAGCAGCTGGGACTGGGTCCATTGAGGTGGCTTGAACTGGGTCCATTGACTCAATTGTGATGGCTTCAAGGGGAAGCCCCAGGAGAAACCACCCAATTCCAGCGTTCCCTCAGGCTCATGCGCGAGGTTGACCAGTCTTGCCAGCCTCTCAGGTCCACCATTGCTTTGGCCTCTGGCCCCTCTCCTCCCACTTTGCGGCCAGCCGCAGTTCCGTGTCCACGGCCTGCCTCCAAACCTCAGGCGAGGCTTCCAGATCTGCGGCGGCTTGGGGAAAAAAGGTCTGGTGCTGGTGTAAACGGACGGAACCCCAACTGGAACCAGTGGACGCTGTCGATCTTCAACCAATCGAGAAGGACACCACGATTTAGGCGCCTGGGATTTCAACAACGCAGCCTCCAAGGTACGTGGCAAAATTGACGGTCCCCCCGTTCTGCGTGGTTTCTTTTTGGCTTCCAGTTAAACCAAGGTGGTCTTCAAGGGCCTCAATAGAACACAAAACCCGCAAATTTGTGGGGAGGCGGCGGCTCTGCACTCTCTGCCCCTGGCAATCATCGCCGCATTGCCCTCCAACGGCATGCCCACCTCCGTGCTATGCCCCCACCCACCCCCCTCTGCCCCCCACCCCTCCCCAAAGGGAGGGTGGAAGTAGACGGCACAGGTTAATCGGATGGGCCAAACCAAAGTGGGAGAACATGGCCACTTTCACAGCCCTTGTTGGTACCAAAGGAATCCCATGCAATGGCGACTCGATCACTTTCAAGTGGATTGGCACGGAAAATTGTTCTTCGCAATCTTCCACAAGTGGGGCACCCCCCCACAATACCGGGGAGATCCTGGAGGGCTGCTGGGCCGCGCGCAAAGGAAAAGTGCGAGAATCCAAACACTAGCAGAGCCCGTCTCTTGAGAGAATGCTTGGGTGCGGCGGAGGGAGGTACAACAAATGTTCGGTTTGCGCACGCCTCTCGGTGAGAATGACAAAGCCGCAGCTAGGCAAGTGAGCAGATGCATCACTACCCATGTCTTTTCCGGACGTCGTTGGCGGGGGCTCCAACGTGGCCAGCGGAGCTGAGACCATGACATGCAGTCACATGCCCAGTTGCTTCTTGCAACGGCCGCTGCTAACTTCTAAGCTCACTGGTCGATCGCCGAGGAAGAAAACCGTAAGCCTGGTGCAAATTCCGTGAGCTGCCATCCACGCCCATGTCCAAACTCACGGCTGGACCACTTACAAACTGCCGTCAAGGAACCGAAACACCAAGCCCGCACAATCGCACGGAGTCTCACAGGAACTTGCCCCAGCCAATCTGCTTTCGGTTCCGGTGAGCTCTGGAGGCTCTGGCCCCTGCGGCCAGCGCCGTACAGGCCAGGGCTATCAGCACGCCCTTCGGGCCCATGTCGTGGTGCTGCTGCTTCGAGAACTGCAGGTTGTAGTTCTGATCCTCCGCGTCGGACCACCAGTGCTCCTCCTTGGCCAGGCTTTACCCCCACAAAAAGTGACCACTGTCTGCTGGTCTGAAGGGAGGAGGAGGAAATCCAAAAAAAGCCAAAGATTTACAGGTGACCCTTTGCCGGTTGAAAGGGAGAAGAAGAAAAACAAAATGGACGTCAAAGGGCCAAAAGGTCCTTTGGGTTCTGGCCGTGCTTCCGGGTTCCCCCACACGAGGTTGTACCACCCAGGGTGGATGACACCCTGTGAGGGCTTGCCAGGGTAGGGCTTCATGCCAAGGAATCGGTTGATGTCGCTCATGCGGATGCGCTTCTGCGTTGAAGCCCAGCTGTCATTCCTTGGCTCCAATCTTTTTGGCCAAAAGTCGAACTGTTGGCATAAAAGTTGCCGTAAATCCGAAACTCGGAAGGTCAAGTCTGGGGTATGGCTGGCTCTGCCAAGCTTCGCATAGATAGCGTTGGTGTTGGCCTGAAAGCCCCAGGTACGCGAGGGAGTTGGAGGGTACTTAGCAAAGGCGCGGTCGAACTTGTCTCTATCCTCGGACGCATGCGGCCACTGCAAGTGACAAGTTATTGTTGGTTAGGAAAGAAAGTCAGGAAATTAAGACTTTTGACTGGTCAGAAGGGAAAATCAAGCAAAACCAAAAGAGCACATGATCAAAAAGGGTGAGTCAAGTCCGGTCATGTATCTTTCTTGCTCCTGCCCGATAGCAGGTTGGACAGTTTCTTGGCCTTCCCTATCTTGCTGATGGCGCCCCCCATGGCCGGAAGCAAGCTACGGGAAACAATGCTGTGGCAAAGCGTAGAGTTCCCTACGCATTGAAAGAGCCAAACAGGTGACGCCACCAAAACGAGAAATACTGCGAACCCTTACCAAGCACGCGCACGCCTTCAGGATGAACACATTACAACTCGTGGGCTGATGAAAAGCCATGGATAGCATCTGAGAGGGAGAGGTCGGTGTGGGGAGGGTGGTGGAGGCCACTAGATTTGTTGCCCGACTGGTGTGAAGCTGCAAGAGCAGGGCTACGTTGCTGTTTATCGATTTCTCTGTGCCCCGATGCGCTGCGGCCAAGACTCGCGCAAGCTCAACAACTTTTGAGTCGCTTCAACATGATGTCAATGGGGGCACCCTTGACAAGAGAAGGATTCCTCTTGCATGCGACACGTGGACACCCCCGTATTGGTCAACCGGGGGCTGAATCCTGGTTCCCATTCACTCCAACTTTGGCTTTCCGACGCTTACTAAGCCATGATCACAACGGAACGAGCGCGAGCACTAGCAGCTCTGCGTGCGTTCTCGCAAGGCTGTACATGCACCCAGGAAAAGTGAGTTCAGTGCAGGATTAACATGCAGTTAGTGGGCACCATAAATTCCATCCCACTCCGGCCAGTTCTGCCAAAGCTTGTCAAACCAGCCGCAGCGCGGGCAATGGTTTGCATTCCTTCTACGCCCCGGGTCACGATTGTGTGTCGCGAGGTTGCCGCAGTGATCGTTCATGATTGGCCCTGCTCGACATCTCCTGCACATCCGCGCAGTGCCTTCAGCTGTTGACTTTCCGCAGCCCCCACTCCGAATCCAAGGCTCTTCAAACGGTTTGGCAAACAGAGCTGCCACCAACCCTAGGTGCGCATTTCCGCCAACCCCAAAACAAAGTCACCCCCTGCCAGTTGCCTGCAATGAGGGAAATGTCCTTTGATTGGATTGCAGCCCTTCGCAAGAGACCCAACCCGCCTTGCCCAACCATTCGGTGCACCGCTGCCCTAGCCATCTCATCCAGCTCCCGGGCGCGCTGACGCCGCTCTTCGGCCAGGGCCTCCTCCTGACGCCGCTGCTGCTCCTCTTGCTGCCTCAACAGCTCCCTCTCCCTCTCCCGCGCCAGCTCCATCTCTCCTGAGGTTTTTGGCTGACCCCTTCAGAGGGTTCCGATTGTCCTTCGGTGCAAGGGATGGGGACTGATTCTTTTCTTGGGGCCTTCTACACTTCTTCCCCGATGTTTCCGCTGAAGAGAAAGTTAAGCCTCTTTTTTTCTCCTGGATGGGCGGACCAACAAGCCACGGCAAGGGCAGGGTTCCCAACACATCGCCTTGAACTGGCTAAAAGCGAAATCCATGAAAACACAAAGGCCAAAAAGCTGACGCAGGCAAGCTGAGTCTCGAGCACGTGCCAGGTGCTCCATTCTCACCTCGAACTGCTCTCGAACCAGCAGCACCTCGCGCCTCCGCTCTCGGTAGATCATCTCCTCGCGCTTCCGCATGCGGGCGGTGGGCCAGGGCGCGGGGACCTCCAAGTCCATGGGCAGCGGCCAGTCCGACCTACCGACGGTCCCAAGTCGGGAGATGATGGAATACACCGCCAGCCAGTGTAAAAATATATATATATATAACCCCGTGTGGCAGCCATCTTGGATGGATTTCCCCAAATGATGTGGATATGGGTGTGCGCTTTTTGAGACCACCCTTTTTTGGGTTTCCTTGTCTGATTGACACATGCCGCAGGGCCATATTTTCCGGCGGCCACTTTAGATCCAAAAGAATGCCCTTGCCTCTGCAAGGCCGCGCCCCTGGACACAAAGCTGCCCATGTCCAGCGCGGCTGGGGCCGGGGGCGACTCTTGACTCAGCCCGTTCGACGCCGGCTCTTGACTCAGCCCGTTGGACGCGGCGGCTGCCCGAGACCTTGTGAAGGCCCCAGTCTCGGCAGATTTCATGGCAGTCCGCAGGGCAGCAATCTCTTCAAAGTGCTCGATGGCCTCCTGGTCGGGTTTCCCAAGTGCAAGTCCGCTGCCTGGAAAAAAAGAACCGTTTTGAGATTTTTGGTCCAGCCGGCACTGAGGTTTGTTGCCGGTCCCTACCTCGTTGCCCAAGCTCTGGAGGTCCCTCTGCAGCAAGTGCTCCCATCTCTGACGCATAGCCACTAGCTCGGCATCCAACGGCTCCGGAGACGTGGAGATGCCAACCCCACCCGGGCTCAGCCCAATGCTTTCCTGTGTCGGTCAACAGCGGGTCTGGAATCACAACCAAAAAAAAAAGAGGGGGGGGACGACAAAAATTGGGCCCTTGCCACCAGCTCAAGCCAAACCGATCCCCTCGACCACTCTTTCGGAGGCTCCACTTTTCTGTTTTTTTCAAGTGGCGCCTGTTTTTGGTCTCCTTTCGGGACAAAGAAAACATGCGGGCCATTTAGCGCCCAGGTTCTGCAGAAAGCACGGTAGCCAGCTCCACTTGCAGGCTCTCCAACTCCGCCTCTACCAGCGAAAGCTGTTGCACATGCTGCAGCTGCCTTTCTTCGTCCATCCGGGATGCATCCACCTACGGCAGAGGCCTTGTGAAAAACTTGCGGTTCCTCTTGCTTTCTCAAAACTAACCCAAAACGGCCAGCACACCAAAAAAAGCACACCCTTCATTGATGCAGTGCGCTAAACAGCAAAGCCCCTGCCTGGTTCAGCCGTTCGATCTCCCTCCCCAGCTCCCTGGCCCGCTCCTCGCTCCGCTGCCGCTCCACTTGCCCGGGAGCGAGCGAATCCGAGCGCGGCGCGCCCGCTCCGCCTGCCCCGCGCGCCAAGCGCGCCTCCAGGCGCGGGCCCAGCGCGGCGCGCACGGCGGCGCGGTGCTTCGCGCATTGCATGGCCGCCCACTGCTCCAGGCGCGCGTCCAGCACCATGACCTGCTGCAGCTCGCCGGCGCTCAAACGCCGCCGCTCCAGGCGGTCCAACATGTCCTGAAGCGGGTTGCGTGTGACCCTACGGCAAGACGTTCTAGACAAATTCAACTAAGCAAGGCCGCGTTTAGGAACTTGATTTCAAAAATAGCCCATGGCCAACGCACAGTTTGGCAAACCCACCGAAAAAGAAGAAGGTCGTGGTTCTACCAGGCAACCTGCCCACGTGCGCGCGCGGCGCGCAATTGAGCGCCCGGGTCCTCCACGCACTCGCCACAGATCCTCGCCTTCTTCGCCTCATCCTGGCCCAACTCCTCGAAGTTGGTGGCGCAGTGGGGGGCGCACGTGCTGCAAACCAACCGCCCGCAGCGGCGGCAGTGGTGCCTTCGCCTGGCGAGCTTCATCAGTAGAAATCTGCTGGGAACCCCTTGAAACCAGAGGGTGTATGATTTGGAGGGCGCCATTTGAATGAACCAAGCTCGCGAAAAGATCCTGAAACTCCAGCGGCCAGGCTCCTAAGCTTTGAAGGGCCGGTCCACCCGGACTGCACTTGCAAGTTCCATGGGCCCTTTGCAGCTCGGCCCGTCTGAGCCTCAGCAGTCCGAAAGCTGCCCCGCAGCCGGGCACCATGCACGCAGTGAAGACGAAGTTGGGGGCCCAAAGCCCGCCCTCCACAAAGTCGCAGGCCAAGCCAGTGTTCGCCAGCTGCACCTTGCCACTTGGCTCATCAAACCCCACACCCCAGACCTTAAGCCCTTCCAAGTGATACTTCCTGCACGAAAAAGCATTGTGCTGAATGCCCGCGCCTTGGCAGCAACCCCCCAGCGTGGCGGATCAGCATTGCACACCAGCCGCACGTGCTCGGCCGAGCCTTACGCCAATCGCTCGGAGCGAGTTCCTAACATAAAGGATCCTGCATCTGCTTTCCGTTGTCCCGGCCAACCACTAATATAGGGCCGCACGTCATGCACAAAGACACTCAACGGCAGAGCCGCAAAACAGGCACCAACAAGTGAGTGGTGCCTAAGGCGAAGGAGAAGAACGCCCGGATGTTTAGCTAGCCCCCGTTGGCACTTGGCGAGCGTCGCGCATACATTGGCGGAGCTGTGGCTTGAAAGCTTGAGGTCGGCAGAATCGTCATGGACATTTCTGGCGGCACCTGGCAAGGCTCAAGGAAGTGCCATGTGTAACCACCTGCATGCCTGCAAAAACTTGAAGCCTCTTGCAATGCCCACCAGCATGTGCCACAGAAACACTGAGCAAAGCAAGCCAAAGACCCCCGCACAGGGGTAGAATTTGGTCCCTGGCAAAAGGGACCTTAAAGGAATCCGTTCACCCAGTTTCTGCCGTTGTGTATTGATCAAACGCTTCTCAGATCGCTACTGTACACAACTGCCCGCCTCCGCCTGCAGCCTCTCACGGCCTGCCTTCTCTGCTTCTCCTCGCCTCTGCTCAAAACTAGGGATGGGCCGCACACTGCTGATGCAAACCCGCGGCCCCTGCGGGCCGAACATGTCACACACGACAGGCGCATGCCAAAAGTTTCTTGATTGGAGATAGACCTGGTTGTAATATATATATATATATATAATCATATATATATATATTCACAAATATATATATATATATATATAATGTGCATATATGAGTACATGCACATATATACATGTGTATACTAGGTATGTGTCTTTGCTTAATCGCTCTCGCCCTCTCTCTCTCTCTCTCTCTCTCTTTCCCTCTCTCTACGCTTGCATTCAAAAGTATGCATTTCTCAACGATTTTTCCCGACTGCGAATGCGTGTGGACATTTGCATGCATTCTATCAGTCGTTTTGCCTTTTGGGCACCAGCTAAAAAACCAAAAAAGGCGTCTCTCAAAGGGGACCCTCAAAATTGAATTTGCTCCTTTGACACCCAAAAAAAAAAAACCTAATGTATTTAACAAAAAAGTACTCTCCATGTCCCACCGCTTACGGAGCTGCCTCGTCTCCCAATCTCTGCGAGCTCCTGCCGGGATGCGGCCCTCCTCGCTGGCGCTGCGGATCAAGTCCAGCACCACGCCTCGGCCGAAACGACTTGGCTGGTCTTCCGCTGGGATTTGGGTCTGTCCTCAAATCCGGGAGCCTCAAAATGGAGGGCCTTCCCTTTGGTGTCCCTTTAAGACTACCCCTCCCCCCCCCCAAAAAAAAAAAGGGGGGGCTAGAGATGCCGCAAGGGGACGTGGAAAGCACTTGAACGGCGAAACCAAATGAATCTGCGTCCCAGATCAGATTGATTTGGGTTTCCGCAAAAGCGCTCCCATATGGGGTGTCTTCAGGCGGGCAGTTTCCTTTTGGCTTCCTGTGAGAAAACAACCCCCAAACAACCCAACCCAAATACATCCTGAGACACAAAAAGCATGCCTTGCCAGAGCAAACATGGTGGTAAATCACTTTCTGTGATATAAATAATGGATTATCCCCATAACTCATCACTTTTTCCCCTGGCATCACAGACATCGGACCTTTCCCTGACTTCTCACACACAAGATCCAACCATCCGATCCAAGCAGGGCGCGGTTCACGCGCAAGGTCCCATCCACCTCCTCCCCGGTGATGGGGCTGCTGCGGGTACGGTGCCGGGGCGCGGCCCCGCAGTCGGCCTCCGAATCAGAGGCCACCTGTCCTGCGACATCAAAGCGTACAACGCCACCTGAGGCATACTCAAAACTCCCTTACTGATCCAAAAACTTACCCGGGTTTTGAGTGTGACTCACCTGCCTCACCCACCAAAAGCACAAAGGGTGTCAAAGGCTGCGAATTCACATGAGCCAGACTCGGCCACAAGCCCAAAGGCAGCTTGAATGCGGGTTGACTCTTTGGCTTCACTCAAAAGGCGATTCTGCTGGCTGCCCCTGGTTTCACCCACAAAGGCTCCCTTTTTTAGGAAACACCAAGTTCTGACATGTCCTTGCAGCTGATTCTCCCAGTGCTGCTGGATGCTCTGCCGCTCGTAGGTGTACCCATCACTCGCCAGGACGGGGTCGGCCATGAGCTCTCTCCTCGAATCGAAGGCGGAAAGATGACTATTTGGTTGAAAGAGGACATCAAGGACATCAAGTAAAACCAACAAGAGGGAGCAAGTTGAAAGGCAGGCTTAGACTGGCCATGTCTCGTGATGGGGCACTGCAAAGATTGCATGTCAGCACTGGCTCGGCTCGGGCTGGACTCGGACGCACCTGGCGGAAAGCAAGGCCCACCCAAGAAACTGGCAAGCAATCATTTGGTGCGCTCAAAGCTTCTGACTGGCCTTCGGCAAGCCGCAGAACGAAGGGGTACGCTTCCAGTTGGTTCAACATCTCCCCCTGCAGCCCACCGACGTCTGAGACCGGGAACAGCTCCTGACCCCATCTTTAAAGGCTAGGGAAGCAGGCTGAGCACACTGAAGCCAAAGTGCGTTTTTGAGGGCCCCGTTTTCAGCCTAATTCACAAGGAAACTTGGTTGGTTTTCGAGGGCCGATGAGTCCTGGGATGAGCAATACCAAAAAGTGCCCCCGATAATTGGGAAAAGGTTTGGACAAATCCTCGAACAGTGGTGAATTGTTTCGCAGAAATGTTTGACATATCCTGAAAAATGTTTGAAATGCTTAGAAATATGTCGATTGCCGGTAATATTCTGAAAAAAAATGAACAAGGTTGCGTGGAGAGATTTCACAAACAATGTCCAAACGCTATGTGCACTACCATCACTACCCAAGAACCAAAGACCTGGGGAAGAGAAAACAAGGGTTGGTGTGGAGAAAACTACTCCAAACATGTGCCAACAATTCCAAACATGTGTGACACAATTTCCATGCATGTGCAAACATTTGTTAAACATGTCCAAACAACGTCCAAGCATTTGCCAAACAATTTCCCCATGTAATGAACGTTAGTTTACAATTGTGTATTTGAGCGTTTCGGTCACCGGCGGACTTAACAAGCAACCAAAGGAAAAAACACAACTGGAAAATCACGACCCATGAAACCTTGACTCAAGTTTTATCAAAAGCAAGAGCACTCCTCCAGGAATGCGGCAAGCTGGCTCAAGTTCGAAAACTGCGCCAAATAGCTGTGCTCCATGTTGAACTGTGGGCGGGGGTGCGAGTCGTAGAGGAACACGCGGGCTGGGTCCGCATCCAGCACTATCAAAACACTTTCCTGGGCAGGTCGCACACAAAGGATTGCCCATCACCTGCGAAACAAGAAACAAAAGAATACCTGGTCTTCCTTAACTCAACCTAAAGGAGAAACCGTTGGGGCCTGGTCACGCGCAAAATGCCGCCATGTTTCTGGAGGCTTTGTAATGATCGCTGCCATGGGCCTCGAAGATTCCAGGCGCAGCTCGGACAGAGACTGCCGAACCTGGGGTGAAGGATTTGAAAAACCTGATGTTGTCGGCTCCAATCTGCAAGCGCGCGCTTTCCAGCACAAGTTCTCCAATGGCACGGCCGCTTTGCATGGACAATCACAGTGCTTTGCCCAATGGCACGCCTCAGAAGCGGGCATTTTCTGTGTAAACTCGGGTTAACATCCGTGCGCCGACAAAATTTGCGCGTCCCCGCTCAGCCCAGTCATCCCTGCCAACTGGTAGGCATAAGCACGCCCGCTCACGAGCACGCATTGCCCACTGGCGCAGCAGGAAATTCAGAGTGTTCCAACACGTCGGGAATTCCACCGCGCTTTCCGCAATGGCGGTCATGCGCACCGCTCCACCAGACAGTAAACACACCCACTCACGCGCACCCGCATGGCTTACGTGACCGCTGAAAAAGTGCAGTGCGTCCTCAGTCTTCTGGCATTTTGATCAAACCCCCTGGTCTCTCTGAAAAGCGAGCACGTGGTTTTTGCGCCAACTCCCCACATCCTGAGCAAAGCCAGTACATTTGCAGGCCTGTTTGACAAACCAAGAGAAAAACCAGTGAATTTGCTTGGCTGCTTGGTAAAATCCCACGAGCCTGACAAACACTGTTGCATTTCAAGGTCTTGTCACAAGCCCCTGGAAACAAGGGGGGTTCTTGCCGATTTTTTCGCCCGGTTAGAGGTCGAGGGGAATCGATGCCTGGATCTAGGGGACAGCCATTGAGCGTCACTGACCAGCGCTTGGCTAGCGATTCCACAGCGACCCCCGCCGCAGAACCCTACGCACAGCTCCGAAGGGCAGGTGGAAAACTTCTCACTCAATCAAAGCGCAACTCACGGCCACCCACCCCGCCCAAAGAAGAAACATAACATACGTCTCTGACCTGGGAACACATTCATGAATCCGCACATTGTACATATATATATATATACATATATATATATATATGTGTGTGTGCAACTCCCCCCTCCCAACACCCGCGCCTGCTGCTTGTGTGAGGGGGTCAAGTCACTTTAGACAGGTTTGTTTGTTCAATTAAAAGTGGGTTCATTTCACAACTTGGCAGACTTTCGCAATGATTTCATTCAGACTTTGCCACCAATATAAATGAATAGCAGTTGTTCTTCTACGTTTTGAACAAATTGTCGGTGACAATTCCTCCTCTTGATCTTTTTCCAATCGTTTTCATACATAGTCTAGTCACAACTCAATCTAGTTAGTTGCACAAGTAGCATCATACGCAAAGTTTGGTACAGTGTAAAAGCGAAGCTAGGTAACACGTTGTATTACATAGGGTCTGGACCATAATACGTCATATACACATCTCTGAAGTGCTCTCTCAATGTGTCCTGATCAAGTGTGCTTTGGCGCGTTCATCGCAAATTTGTCCTCGCTCAATTGGCTGTACAACATCTCTGTGAGGGTACCGGCGCAAGCGTGTCAAAACACAGGCAAACCATACCTCTTCTGCTTCGCCTACACATCTTCGATTTCTCATCTCAACTGATGTGCCAATCCTCTTCGTCTGTCAACTTTCAAACCTGTGGCAATACAAAAACATCTGCTATGCATCCTTCGTCCCTCATCTCAACTCATCTACAAATCCCATTCGTCTGTCAGAAAATCGCGCAAAAGTACTGCAAATACCGCTAAATTCCCTTGGGGCGTGTTTTTTTTTTGGGGGGGGGAGGTACCATACATATGTATGTGTCGCTTCTTTATTTATCTATTTATTTACTTGTTTAATTATTCATTTATTGATTCATTTATATATTTATTTATTTATTCATCAACTAGTTCAAAACCATTTGCTTATCTACTAATATTATGCACACCCCCTCACCCACCCCGCAACCTGCCCCCCAAACCTGGGGCCCCCGGCGTCCTGCACCCGGCCCCGGATGGGGCTCAGCGGCTGAAGCTCCGCGAAGGCCGGGCACGCCAGCAGCTCCGGCACCGCGGACCCCGCGCTGAAGCCGCAGGCCTCGCGCGGACCGACTCGCTCGGCGAGGCCGGCCGCACGCGTCGATGGGGGAAGGTCGAGATGCCAGGGGCTTTGGGGCCTTTTCTGGTGGAACATCTGGGCGGAACCAGACCAGTTGGAAATGCCACCGGAGAAATGACTGGGGCTCAACAATGGTGCCCTGAAAATGGCATCTTGGCCTGTGGGAACAAGGGCTAAAACCTGCGTGACCCGAGATGCTTACTCTTGAGAGTTTCAACATGTAGCCATTTAACCGGCAGCCAGATTTGTTGGCTTTTTGTTGGAACAAGTTTTGCCCCTCTCCGGTTGAGCCCATGCGTGCCTAGCTGTCTGTGTTGGGCATCTCTGGGAAAACCAAACTCCCACGATGTGGCTAATTTCGGGGAGTGGGGAAGGCGGAAGTGGCAAACCCTGTCGCAACTTTGGAAAGATGAAGGCGACCAGCGAGGCTAAGCTTATTCATGCATTTCTCTAACCCCGGGCATCTTTTCCCCGCGAAAGAAAGCTCACCACCGGCCTCGTAGGCCTGGAGCGCCTCCTGCATGCACCGGTCCATGGTGGGGCCAAAGGCAGTGAGATCCCCACCCAGCTCCAGCAAGAGAGAGCGGGCCACCTGAAGCTGCAAGGATTGAAAGCTTGAAGCTGGGATAGAAACCCCACAGGGTTGGGTTGTCCTTGGTTTCCTTGCGTTTTTTCCTTCAAAGCTCAAAAGCGGCATGGCAAAGCATACTTGAAACAGGAAAGAATGCAAGATGCCCTGCACACGTTCAAGAAAGAAGCCAACAAATCCTCAATCAAATCACAAAGGCCCTGGTTGGTTGATATTTGGAGCGCCCCATTGGTGAGAAAAACACGTCCCTCTTGGGAAACTCCCAAATAATCCACGAGGTGGATGAATTTGGGGTCGATAAAAGGTGCTTCTTGCACAAATGGTGCGCCCAGCCTTCAAGCAAATGGCGGTGCAAGCAGACACGCCATTGCCTGACCAAAAGCGCCACACAGCTTGCAACATGCGCCACACGCCCGTGCTTGCGGTCAAACCAGCCATGCACAAGCCTCCCGCCCTCCACCAAGAGCCATCCAAAAGGCCAGCCAACCACTGTCAATGGTTTGGGCTGCAAAGGGCGGGCTCCCTGCCTTGCCAGACAGACGCAAATTGCGAGTGTCCAGTAGCAACCACCGTGTAGCCGCACGAAGACCCCGCACTCGAGGGCTTGCCATGCTTGCCGCACATGGCGCCAACACTAGGGCCGCTAAGGCATCCAAAGGCGATCTCTCACGTTTAGCCTGGCTCGTTGGGGGGCGGTGTGAATGCCAGCCCTTCGGGAGCAATGGGTTGCCCCTTCAACCTAGTACTACTTGCCCGCTTTGAGCCCCAGCAGCGTGGCATTTGCTACAAGCTGTCCTCGCTTCCTGCTCGATGCGAGCAGCGACTGCATGACAACCCTTTTAAGCCGCTTCTCAGCCTCTGCAAACTGCCCCATGCTTCACCAAGGCATCCGACAGAACCTCACAAAGCTCTACAGCATCAGGACTGCCGTACCTAGACCGGTCAAAGCTCCATTGGTGAAAGGAATCAGCACATGTGACACCGAGGGCAACAAAGCTTGGTAGCTGTTCAATCCATGTCCCTCGGCCAGCGTTGTCAAACGCCCCTTCTTTTTCGCGTCAACAGGAAGATCAAAGCCTTTCCCGCGGTTCCCTTGGGCCACGCTGCGGCAAGTTGTCATGGCTGTCATTGCTGACCTCCCCCTTCCGCAGCTTCGCCACCATGTCCGGGATGCGAGTGGCACTCGTGTAGGCCGCGTGGGGTGCTGAGACTTGGCAAAGAGAAGCGACGGCTTGCAGAATGAAGCGGGGCCGGTAGTACCTCAGCCAACTTCCTGAGCATGTCCCCTTACCACTGATTCTTTGGCTGCATCATCTCAATCACTTGGAGACGAGAATGCGATGGAGCCTCCGCACCCCCATGTTGGCTTGCCCGAGCCTCACATGTTCGGTTTGGGGCGCATGTACAGCCAGCACACATCAAGAAGTTCTCAGTTTAACACCTAATACAGCCAAAGTGAGTGGGGCCTGATGCCTTTTTTTGCAAGCAGTCGCCTGCTGCAAACCGCACTAACATAGATTTGCGGGAGCATACTTGGGGGATTGATGCCGTCGGTATTTTGACAAGGCACAGAGGGAACCCGTAGAAGCACCTCGCTTTCACCAGTTCCTCTGCTTCCGGATGACTGTCGACGCCAGTCTCCGATGCTGGCACCTGTAGACCTGAGTTCGAATGACCCAGCCATCATCCCCAAGAGCCGGCAGAGACATGGAACCTCCAAGAACCAGCGTTCCCCGGACATCCAAATCTGCGTCGCGTAAGTGGCCCAGTCCCATTGCTACGTGACTCGGCCATGAGAGGCCGGCCCTCAAGCTGCCAAGAGGCGCCCAGCCAGCGCCTCAAGCTTTGGAGGTCTTGCGGGCTTCCCGGGTCTCCAGCTTGCAAGGGCTTCACCAAAAGAAAACCCACGGATGATTTGGAACCCATCTTCATTCAGAAAAACTGTCAAATCCGTTCTAGAAGATGCTAGAAGCTATCTCTTGCATCTCAGCCTGCCGCACCTATCCGCGCTGCAAAAACCCGTGTCCTGCCAATGCTGCTTGGCAACCTTCTCAAACTCATCAATGGCTTCCACCGGCACCAAACGCCTGAGATACAGGAAAATACGATCCATCCACTCAGTAGTGCTGCTAAATCAGACATGGTACGCCAGCGTCTCAAGTCCTGAACTGCACACAGCGTCAGGCAGGAACAGCACACAACATGCTCGTACGGTCCTGTCTCGCTGAGGAACGCCAAAATGTGGCACACGAGCACGTCGTGCCGCTCGCCTCATGCTCGCCAGTCACTAGCCTCCTGGTAACAGGTACGGCATCGAAACAATTGCAGATCCATCGACCCAACATGTCATTTGCAAATCACAACGTGCTGCAGGGCCCACCTGCAAGCAATGTCCCAAACAAATCAAGGACATATGCCAGCCCGGTGCCTTGACAGTCTATGCCCGCCAAGGGGCCATTGCACGTCTGATCACCAAATCTCCCCAGGACACACCCATGGTCGTGCCGCCACAATCCAAGGAGCACCTGTCAAGCAGAACCGAAGAAACAAGGATCAATGCTTGGTTTGTTTCAAGAGTTGGTCGACTTAGCGGACCCTTCGGAGGACATGATTTACTTTAGGATTTATGTCCTCCATGTGGACCAACAAGGACCATAGCCTGCAATGAAACCAGGAGTTCTGGAGGAAAGCGAAAACACTTCCAGGGCGCCTCGGCCACACCAGCGTCCAGCAACCGCGCTTGGCAGCTCTTGAACTGGGCGAGTCTCACCAGCGCAAACAGCAGCCAGTTCCTGGCGCTTGCACCACGGGTCAGCCAATTCGAGGTCTGAGTCCCTGGTCGGCTTGCACAAAACACTCAAAGCACGGAGCTTCAGGGCATGAGAAACTAGGCGCCTGGCAAAGCGCTCTGCTGGATGCCTGGTTGAGCCAGGGCGTCGCATAGAGGCCGCGCCACGGCGTCGCAGAATGCCTGAATGAAGCGTAGCCCGCTCGACCACACAGCTGACGAGGCAACCCCAAAGCAACGAAGACCCTTCCACGCAGAGATCTCCAGGCGCTTTTGCAAGTACACAGCCAGCACCACAATCAGCTACAACCAGGATATGCAACCAATCCGCACTGCAACCCGCCTCCCCCTCCGCCGGCCCACTGAGACAGCTCCTCAGCGCCGCCGCCGCGTCGGTGGTCTCCGCCGAGGCCAAGGCCTGTGCGACTTCGGGCAAAGTTGCAAAGAGACACTCCAACAAAGAGCATTTTTCGTGGTTCCCATGTTCCTTTTTCTTTTGATTTGTTTGGCCGCTTGGGCTTCACCAGGCAGGCAGCCACAGAACCCACCTGCCAAACACTCACATGCTGCCGGACCCCTCCCCACTGAAAACATCAAAGGCAAAAATGCCAGTGTTTGATCTTGTATATGGCCGTGAAAATCAAGCAGTGCGATGTATGAACAGGTTCAATCAATCATGTTCGCTATTGCTCCACACGGTCACTCAGCTCGCACAACACGCAGTTTTGATACATCATTTGACCAACACCTTTGCGTCGGTACGAACCTGTCAGCACTTGCCTTGCCCAAAGCTGCGGCGATCTCTGGCCGCCGCGCTGCCGAAAGCCTGCCGAACAGTTTGAAAACCAATTCTCAAAAGAAAAGTCTTCCTGAAGAAATCCAACTTGTGCTGCTCCATATTGCCGCCCTGACGCTGGCTTACCTTTTCCTTGCTGCCCGACACCATGTGCTGACCTGATAAGCGCTTCTCATTTGACAAAGCGGCGCCTTTCCGCGTCGGCGCTGGTGCCGCGCATGCCCTCGTCTGGCCGGTTGACGGCAGCAACGCTCCGCCGGAAGGCGGCCACGTCAAACTTCTCGCACATGGCGAGCGACAGAATTTGGTGCGCACCCACGGTAATGCACGCGGGTGCACAGAAGGCAGTCAGTCTTTCGGAGGAGAAATCATTGCATGAAGCAAAAAGACGGAAGGCGTGGGGTATGGGCGGTCGTGAGGTGATGCTATCGAGCATCTGTGAATCAATCCCGCTTGCTTGTGGGACTGCAATTGGCTGAGTTGTTTGAACCACGTTAGCTGCGGAAGGGGCCAATGAAGAGCTACGCCTGGACCAATTGGGAATCTCCGCTCGGCGCTCTGTCAAGCTTACTGGTATGAAATCACGTCTCTGAGCAACCAACATTTCAACTGATGGTATGGTAATATATGGCTAAATAATTCGCTTTAATAGCTTTGCACACATGAAGCATTTTGTCATATGACCAAAAAAACACGCTAACAACCACCAAGTAGCACGCGACCTGTGCCTCCTCAAAGAGCTGCGTAACAATTGGACATCAGTGCGTTGGATTTTTCCCGAATGCCGAGCAGAAGCCTTCAGAGGTTGGGGTCCTGGGGGATAGGACCTGATTAGGAATCGTCGCGTTTACGACCGCAAGTGTTCACGAGCGTTCGCAATGTGTTCGCGAGTGTCGCGTTCGCTGTGCCAATGGGTTTGCCACAAAACGTGACTTTTCAATCAATCTTGGAGTGTTGAATTCGTTGAGCCCGTGCGGGAATCGTGGCTCTTAGCGCGTTAGATGTTGTTTCGCTGCACAAGCGCCGTGTTTGAGTCGCCGCGCTTGGCGTTTGAGCGAAAGTCATTTGCGTTGACCCTGCGATACAGAACCTAAAATGTCGAACGCATTCTGGCGCCACTGTCCCGTGTTAGATGCATGTCGTGAACGTGTATAAGTTGGAACTTGTGACAGGCGTAGTATTTTATGCGATTTTGAACTTGTGTCCCTAAAACTAGCGTAAGCAAGGTAAGGCGAAAACAATTTTTAGAACCCCCCCCCCCTGCCCGGGCTCGACTCCCCCCTGCCCCTCTCAGGTGTTGACTTGGACAGTGAGGCACAAGCGGCCGGAAACCTGCTCTTGCCCATCTTGGCGGCAGCGCTTTTTCCGCCGCCAGATCCGTCCCCGAAACCCCCTTAAAGGATGCTTCCGGGCAGCGGGTACGACGTTGGAAGCCGATTGAACCGCAAGCAAGCTGGCCGCAAATGCTCTGTGTGGGCGGCCGACGCCAAGAGCAAACACTACCGCTGGGCAAGGCCTGCAGTAGGAGCTGCGGAGGCGCTCGACTCTTCTGCGCTCCACCTCCCCAAGCCCAAACACAACCAAGCAGCTGCTTTGCCAGCTCGGGATACGTGCGTTTCTTGGCCTTCCGGGCAAGGCGGAGCTGCCCCCGCCGCGCTACCCTGGTAGCGCCGGGGGCCGAGGCAGATTTCAAAGCCAACACAAGGGTACTATTGATGGCTAGCTGCAACCAACCAATGAACCAACCAAGCAAGCAAGCAAGCAACCAACCAGCCGACCAACCAGGCTATCTATCTATCCATCTGTCAATCTATTCATTCTAAGGTCCTTGTAAGGGGTCTAGCATTCGGCAACCATCGGTGTTGGTTGAGATACCTCCGCGAAAGATTCGTGATGGAGTTGCTGAAACTCTACCCTGGAAAGTAGTGAGATTTGGCGGTTGTGTGTGTGTTTTCTGTAGAACCTTCCTTCCGTAGGTGAATTAAACCCTTTTTCCTTTTCTTTGCCGCCTGAGGCTACAGTTTGACACTCTGCTCGGCAGGTTAGAGCTCCAAGTGTGTGCCTGTGTGCGCGTGCTCTTGGTTAGGAGCCCTGCGCTTTGAAACGCGGGTGATTGTTTGCGAAAGATCCGCGAAAGCTTGCGCGAAAGTGCGGGCTTCGATTGCCAGGCGTACTTTCTGAGCGCCGCGCTAGACAGTGTACTAACTTGTTACTGAAAGTTGCAAGTTTTGAGCTGGAGCCGCGGAAGTATTTCGTGTGAAGTGACTCGGTACGGAAAACTTGCGCGCTGCGAGCAATTCTTTGACTCGCTCCAGCTCGAGCTGCGGGCAATTCTTTGACTCTAGACACTAGACGTGAGCCGCGATGGATTCGCGAAAGTAATTTTCGTTTCGCAAAGAATTGCCGTTTCGAAACAAAGGAACTTAAACAACCACCATGTTTACGGAGACTGCACATTGCCGAGAGAGGCTCCGAGGGATGACTCACACAGGATTCGGAAGCGCGTTCTTTTTCTCCGGTGCCGAAAAAAGATGCCAGTTTAAAAGCAAGGCAAGAAAGAGCGGGCCACAATCAGCAACCCCCCCGAGCTCGGGTAGCTCAAGGGTAGTGGAGATTCAATCATGAAAGCAGTCGATCTTGCAAATAAATCGGGTTCCCTCGATCCCAAAGCGGCCACACGCCGACCTTAAGTGGAACCCCTTAAAAACACAAGTGAAAACACCAAGCGTTCACGGAGGTTCACCAAGGGAACCCGGCGAGAAGGGCGGAGCTTGGATCTTACTCACATTGCAGAGAGAAGCTCCGAGGGATGACTCACAAGGATTCGGAAGCGCGCTCTTTTTCTCCGGTGCCGGAAAAAGATGCCAGTTTAAAAGCAAGGCGAAAAAGAGCGGGCCACAATCATCAACCCCCCCTTTAGTTTCCGGCACCGGGCAGCGCTTCTCCAAACCCCCTTCCTCAGAGCAAACGGGCCGGCGCCTTGAAGACAGGGCAGGCAAACGTCAAGCGCATGAGAGTTCACGCAAGGTGATGCAACATGGCATGATGAGTTGCGCGTTGCAAAATTCGAGACAAAGGCAACTTTGTGGTAAACAGGCTGTTCAAGCCAGCTTCTGCGCCTATGTTGTCGCAGCCCATCGTCAAAACCACGCCTGTGGCTACCGACGGGCAAAGCTGGCAGGCCATCAGAAGGAGACACGCTTCTCCAATGTCAACCAGGGTGCCAAGTCTGCCTTTGTAAAAAACAAAAAACAAAAAGTACATCCCGTCTGCTTGCGCAATCCAACCACCAATGCCCCAGGTGGTGCCAGCTGCCATTTTTTTCCATCGCCTTGGTTCGTCCCCCCGAAAACCCTGCTTAAGGGGAGCCGCCGGGCAAGGAAGGCACTCAAGCCATTGGTACCCCGGGGGCCACCGGCTGTGCGAAGTGCGGCTAGCCGGCAGGCAGCCGGCAAGCGGTGAGGGGCGCCTCACCTGCATCTGCAAAAAGTTCACCCAGGGGCCTTGAACACGACCACCCCGGCGGCAGGGCTGCCCCGAGCCGGACAAGGGCGAGCTGCTGCCCGCCTCACAACGGCAAGCCGTTGGCAACGACCTAAAGCCGCCGATCGTCGACACGACCGACCTGGAGATTCATGTCTGCCAAGCGGGCACGCGGGCTGCTGCACGCTCGAGCGGGCAGCCTCGACTCCGGAGTGCACCAGGTTGGGAGCACGCTGCACGGTGGTCGTAAGGAGGGTCGAAAGGGCGACACCGACAGGTGCGGGCGGACAAAGGCAGGGGGAGGCGGAGGCGCCGCAGGAGGAGAGCACGCAAGGGTTCGGAGAGGAAGGTGAGCTCAGGGCAGGTCGGAACAGTGCTGAAAGGCTGACTGCTGAATGGGCCAGTCTAGGAAAACAAAGAAGCCTGCGAGGGCACATCCAACTGAGCCAGGAGCTCTGTCTGGAGATGTGCGGCGACTGCGGCCGCAGCTGGCGCCTGCCAGCCCCGCGCGCTGGGTTCGGGCAAGTGGTCGCCTGGCTCATTGGACTGGGGGGGGGGCTTGGGCACCGAGGGTCACGGCATCCCAAGTCAAACCCGGCCGGGCAAGCGCTGCCTGTGATTGGGGCCGACGGCAATCCAAAACCTCGGGCGAAAGGTCGTTGCCGCTGGACGGAAAAAGGTGTGCGGGGGGAAAAAATGTGTTTTCTTCGGTTCATGCATTCGTTCCTGTACGTGTTCATGCATTTTTTCTTTCCCCCGGCACCAGGGGTAATCACGCCAAAGCCGGTAAAGTGGGTTCACACGGCAAAGCCCCCCCACGCGGAATGCTGGGCTAAGGGTGTGCCGGGAGCCGGCTGGCGAGCACCTCAAGAACAGGGCCGGCGCGGTCCGCAAGCACGTCACTGACAGCGGGCGCAGGGCAAACCAGCGGAAGGCAAGGTGGACAAGCTGGCAGCAAAGGCCTGCAGCGGTCAAAAAGCCAGACCAGCGGTTGACCAGGGCGACCTGGTAGGCAATACGCAAGGCCGCAGCATCTCTGGCTTGGCCCATGCGTCTTTCACTTTCGTGGTGTGTGGATGATTCTTTGTTCAGTCTGGATTCAGACTCTGGTCCGGTGTCTGCGCGTGCTGCCACTCTTGTTAAGTGGCTCTAGGCCTCACTCCTTCCTGGGACGAGACGGAAATAGGAGATTCCCTGACGTGGAGTGGTTGGAAACTTCATTGGAGAAGATCATCGGCTTAATGATGTGGTGCGCAAATGTGTTGCGCCTTTGTCGCCCTTGGCTAAGTTCCTTGCGCGCGTGTTTGCATTGCCCGCCGGCTTCTGTTTATTCAGTGCCTGTTGCAGAATGCGATGAGTTCCGGGCCTCGCTGCATCCCGACGCTAAAGGGGTCAAAAAAAAAATCCTTCCGTGATGTTCCATCCATGGTTTCTGAAGCACCGTACCTCGTCGAGCTCACGGACCTCTTTGGGGAAAAACTTGAAATCCACTTTGCTACGGGCCTTGCCGGATTGATCGAAGTTTCACGCGCCACTGACCCGGCGGGAGTTTCCGCTCCGACCAGCACAGGGCGCGCAGCGCCATGACGGAGCCATCCAACCTCCGATGAGTGAGGGTTTACCTCAAGCATGGGATTCCAAATGTGAGTGGCCGGATTGGGTGCAAGCAAGCACCCTGACACGGCCGCCGTCCCGTCCTCAACTGCCTCTTCTTTGAGAGCAATTGCCTCAACACGGACGCGGAACTGCTTAATCACGCGTTGGTGGGCAGGCCCCTTCTCAGTGCGCTTAAACACCTCAGCAGCATTCCTGCCGAGAGGGCGGAGCAAAAGGGACAACCGGGAGGTTACGACGAGTCCAATGTGGCTGAC